TTCATGACGACTTCACTGGGCCTCCTCTTATTCTTCCATTTTTCTTTCCACCTGTCCTCTTCGTGGAATGGAGCGTCATTCCTTAGAGCACCAAATCTGTTGTGCATCTAATAATGACTATGCTGTGATAGGGATTCTCAAGCAGTTTTACGCATGAGGCTTGAAATATTAACAGATGATGGTTTGTTCGTTTGGATTACTGCGGAACTGCAGCTCCGTCCCTGCAAGGATTTTATCCTCAGCACTGCACTGATTAAGCTATTTTTCTACAAAGATGGGTAGGTCTAAAATGCTCAAGTTTGCTCAGTGTTATTCCTGGTGGCTTCTGCTGGGTTGCTCCTTCTGTTTTGGCCCCCGATCGTTCATTATGCTTCTGCATGCTGTAAGAATGAAGAGGGTTGCTGTGTTTTAAACAAGGCACCAAGCTGATTGCAAGAGTGGGAGAGAAAGGAATGCAAATTTAGCTTATCAAGCCTTTTACACAAGTGGACTGTGTGGCGGTTATGATTATTAATTTGCTCGGTGTGTTCTGTATCGGCTAATTTTGGGGCTGCTGCTAGAAATGGCTTGAATCTGTTCTTTATTTCTAAAGACTGTGGACAGGCAATATATCTGTTTTAAGGACTTTTAAACCGCAGCTCCCCCAGTCCTTGAAGCAACATTATTGAGGTTCCCCACCCTTTCTTACGGCTCTCAAGGCCTAACCGTTCCTTTGGAAACGTTGCCATTGGAAACGTATTCATTCATAATACATGAATAGACCCTCTGGGTTGTGAATACCATTGATAAGAAGAGGATGAACAAGCTGCAAGCAATTTGTTCTCCTCAGGCTGTACTTTCAGGCTAGTTGCAGCTCTGGCTGGGTGGAGTTCGGTGATAGCAGTGTATCAGCAACAGAGAATTCTGCTCTTTTAGGAATAAACCCTGGGAACTGAACAGACAGTTATAAGATTCCCAGTGTCTTTTTCTCAGCTGGGCCACGGAGACTAATGGAGAATTCGGTAACTGTTGAGGAATTCCAGAGCTCCTTTGAAGATACCTGTAGAAAGGGTGCATTTTCCTATTACATGGCTCTATTTATCTGAAAAAACTCTTCTGGAACTGTTATTTGCTGTACCCTAACATTTTTTTTTCCCTTTCCTAATACTATAGGAAGTTCTTTTCATATGGGTGGGGCCACACCCTGACTTTCGTTCCTGAAGGCATGCACGCGTAGCAGGGCAAGGCTTTCCACTAGCTTAGAGAGCCATTGTTTTCTCCTTTCTTTGTCATATAGTATATTTTGACTGAAAATCAATAGTCATATCTGCAAGCAGAAGGAAAAAGAACAATGTTCCTTTTGGGGTGGCTGGAAAGGTAACAACGCTTGTGCCTCAAAGATATGATAAAGGGTATACATTTTGGAACCCTTTTCTGCACTTGATTTAGCAAACCTGAACTGGGTTTCCAGTGTGTGCTTCTTCTAGATAAATGGGTGGGGTTTTATGTCATTTGGTGCAATGTTTCACAACCCTTGGCTTTGCATGTTTAAATTATGAAGTGTAAATATATGGAGAAGTGATTCTCAGACTTATTTTCAAAGCTCATGCTTTCAGCTGCTCTTTATTAGATTGTGAGACAGAATGAAGCTCCAAAAAGAGCTCTGGCAGTTTCCGAGCTCTGAAGATGCTACTACAAAAAAGGATTGTGAGAGAATGAAGCTCCAAAAAGAGCTCTGGCAGTTTCCGAGCTCTGAAGATGCTACTACAAAAAAGAATGTTTTTCTTGTAAAAACAGTGTTATGTTGCGAAATCTCCCACTGCTAATATATCTGAAACTTATGTTGCTGTTTTGAGGAACTGCTGTGAGTACTGCAGTAAATCAGAATAAATGCTGTCTTGGGCGAAATTCAAAAGCATCATCTAAAATCTCCAGCTTTTCCTCAGATAGTCTTTGATTGTACGGTTGCTTTCATTGAGCCAATGGGCAAAATCATCCTTCTCATAGCTACATCACATTCATCAAAATTGCATCAAAGGTGGAGTTGGCTCAGGAAGGCTGCAGAATCCTGGAAATTCCATACTCAAAAAACTTCTTTAAATGAACCACTTGTGTAAGAAGTTATTGTACCAGGTAGTGGCCAAAGCTTGAAATGTACTGGTGAAATTCTATTTTCAGGTGCATGTTTTAAACCTGATTTATGTGAGCACAGGGGATAAATGACAATCATGGCCTGCTGCGTTCCAGACAAAAAATCAAATATTACAAGTACTTATTTCTGAATTGTTAATGGTTTCTTTCACTGACAAAGCTTAAAGCATGAACATTTGAAAATTAAAGTGACTGGAATGAGCTTTGTGTATGAAATGCTGAGAATCACCTGATTTTGCAATGAGATTGGGGGAATGTAAAAGACTAAGATGAAGATCAGATGAAATCAGTATGGAATTTTTCAGGCAGCAGGAGTTTTCCTTGTATAAACACTATTTGCTGGTGTAGCTGTACTTGATGTCGGAAAGATGAAATTACAGAAAATATCTGGTTGCTAGAGAACTTTCTTCTGTTAAATGACAGGCAGCATTCACTGGACACCTTTCATATCTTAAGTATATATATTTTTTAAATAGTCTGTGCTTAGTCTATAACAAAAAAATTACACTGTTCATAACATATCGGTGTCCTTCTTATCAAAGAAGTCTTCCTGCTTCTGATTATCTTGCCTGGTTTCTTTGGGTCCCCGCCCCTAACTTTTGGGTAGGGAGAGTGGGGAGGCAAACACAGCTGCATCAGTGGTGAAATGAATTTTCTTTTGAAACACATCACTGATGTTCCGCATGTTATACTGCCAAATGCATGAATACATTAATGCGTATTTGATAGTCTGCTCTTTCTACTCCCATTTGTGAAAGCTAGATATTTTGGTTCCACTTCTTGTAAAGCCATTTTTAACTCAAGCTTTTAAAAAGTAACACAAGTTCCTAATTGATCTCCTAAGGTTTATTGTGTGTGATTTATGGCATTTAAATAGGTGAAATTAATTTGTGTTTATGTAATATTCACATTTTATCCTACTATGGGGAAAGAAATGAAAAAAGTGAAACAAATGATCACTTCTGAAATCATGCATTTTTGGGTCATGAACAAACACTGTATTTTACAAACATTATAGCAATTTTTAACCTTGCAGTTCCCCTTTCTTGGAAAAAAAGGAAGCAAAAGGGCCCGCCATAAGTGTTGTGCATCGAATTACATGTCGGTTACTGCTGTTGGGTATTTTAATTGTGAATAACTTTATGCTGCTGTACTTGCTAGCACAGAGGTGATTCCCCAGGAACCTGTTATCAGGGAAGTCAGTACAGCATGTTCCATAATCACTGTCGTTGTCCTAGAAATAGCCACTTGCTCAATGTAATAAGTACACCATACCTGTACGCCTGAATACACAGCTCAGGAAGAACAGCATGAGTTCAACTCTGCCAGATTAGCGTGCCGTGCATTCAGTACAGGAAGAAGTTACAGAAGTACAGGAAGAAGTTACATCTGATGTAACGCTGCCGATAAAATACTACGGGTCACGCAAATCATTGTGGAATTGAGTGACCTTTGAATGAGCGTGATCAGCACCGAGGCAGAGGGCTTGTTATTTCTGTCTTGGAAAGCCTGAACCGCCCTCAAGCCAAATATCAAATTGCCTGAAATGGATGACTTAAAACTGGGGCAGAAAATGTTTAGGGAAGAAGTTACTACCCCAGGAGTGTACCTGCAGTGAAGGAGCCCAGCTGGGCTCGCTGCTCACACAGAAGAGGAACCCTTGTTTCGCTGTGGGTGCGGGAGGACTGGCAGAAAGTGCTGTGACAAAGACACTGCGGTTGGCTCCCTGGGGATTGAGGCTGCGCCTCCCAGCGCTCCAGCCCGCTAGGAATGCTGATGGAGAGGAGTTCTTGCTGGGCCACCCTGCCAGGGCCTTTGCTTGTCAGGTTTTCCTAAACTGTTTTAGCAGGCAATTTACTTTTCTTTGAGGTTGCTGCTTTCCTTTTCCTTCCATCTTCTCTTTCCACATATTAATTCTGTTGGCTATAATCTGTACCTCCAGCTGAAGAGAAACTAAGTTTTTCTCTCCCTGTGCCTTGTTCCAGGACAGGAGGAGTCCCAAGCCTGCTGGCGTTCCTTTAACCTGTGATTTTAATTCTGTCAGTCAGTCAGCTTTTTTCTTACCCTTTTATTTCATGTTTTATATGCCAGGGTTTTGAAGAGTCTACAGTCCTAGAAACATGATTCTTAACTACTCTTTCTGCCTAGAATGCCATTTTTCTTGCATTTATTATTTGGCTGTGCTTCATGTATCCTTCACCCTACCTTTGCTGATTCTCAGCAGCTATCAGTTGCCTCTTTGCTCAGTTTCTTCTGTCGTGAGGATTTTCTCTTCACCTACCTCACCCCTGCTGCTGATGCAGAATTTGAGCACTCCCTTCCCAGGGGCTGGCTGGTTCTGGAGGTTCCTTCTTGGGAACTTCCTGGAGTCCAAAGCTACCATATCTTTGGCAACACCAGCACTAATAAGGGAAAAAATTGTTAGGTGAACCATTTTCAAATTCTGTCTGTGATGCAGCCATTTGACTGGCTGGTGCAGTTCCAGTTTAAGTATTTTGCCAGCGGTACTGTAGACATAAGAAATCCTATGTTTGTTAGCACTGGCTGAACCTACTGGCGCAAGAACGTTTTTATCGTGGGATTTCTTTAAAACCAGACAGCCCTGTAACTCTTTCAGTCCAGAGGCAACATGCCTGTCCAGAATGCCTGCTCAGACAGAGGTGTTATATGTGGTGTTGTAGACTTGGCTGACTGTTTCCCAGGCTCTCATCTGTGATAAACCGTTTTAGAATTTTAATTCTTCACTGTTTTGGTTTTATATTGAAATATGAATTCCTGCATAAGGACGAAACATGAGTGAATTAGTTGTTGATTTTGTTATTTCATGGCGTTTATAAGCTATTTTTCTTCTTTTCCCCACCCCACTCCAGCAGTGTGCAGGGTAGAAGGGAACAGGACCCATATGTCAGTGGTCTAGGATGGCCAGTGAAGGCTCCAACATCCCAAGTCCTGTGGTCCGTCAGATTGACAAGCAGTTTCTGATTTGCAGCATATGCCTGGACCGTTACAAGAACCCCAAAGTACTTCCCTGCCTGCACACTTTCTGTGAGAGGTAAGTCCTTTCCTCATGCTGGTAACTAGGTATTTGTGTCATGCAACAAGCACAGAACAATGCATCCTTTAGTGGATGGAGACTTTTCTCTTTACTTGTAAAGGCCACGTTAAGGCATAATAAAGTCTGGGAAGGCTGGAGAGGCAGGGATGTAGAAAAACACTGTTATTTGTGGCAGGCAGGAAGAAGAGGCAGCAGTGGAATATTTGGAATACATTTCCTTTATGCAAGAGTAAAGAAAAAGTAAATCCAATGAAACTAATGAATACAGTTACAACAGTGTGAAAGGTGATGGCAGTCAGAATTTGGACCTCAAATTAATGGCCTCAAATTTATACTGATTAGCCTACAATTAGAAACAATAAAAATCTTTCTTTGTTGATTTACTAAGCACTGAAATAATTATCCCATCCTTTGAAGTCCAAGGGTTAGACATGATATATACATTATTAATAACCTGTGATTAAATGTCTTCATTATTCTGCAGCTTGGTTGACTGAAGTGGAAAAACTTTCTGAAAAGAGATGTGATAAAACAGCAACCTGCCTTCTACTGTATTCAGCTGAATGAATTGAAAATACATAGTGATACTTTAATGTTATATTATCCATCAAATGGTGGAGAAAATACAGCATCTGCAAAAAAGTTAGCTGAAGAATTATTGGTTTTAGTTCTTTATCTGATGATGGGATGCAACTCTTCGGATTATATATTGAATGGCAGGAGAATTTTAATTTTGTGTGGACATTTAGTTCAGGAGGTTTCCACCTCTTAGTTAGAATTGTGGCGTGCATATCTAATTTTGCACAGGGTGCAAGAAAAATTATGGATCTCTGAGTGTGTCAGATGACATGGTCTTTTGTAGAAGAATGGGAAACCCCAACTTTACTGAAGTCAGCAGTGAAACTCTTACTGAAGTCAGTGAAGTCAAGATTTTCGCCACCATGTCTTAAGTTTCTTGACTTCAGTTCATGTGTAAATCCTAAGGTCAGCTTCTGGTTTTCACTGTAATCCTCTTATGCTGATCTGGTTATGGAGAGAAGTTGGAAGAACTCCTCCAATGTACTGCTGATGTACAAAACCTAAGCTCTCCTTTCACAGAGCCCCTACTGGGGGGTCAGGAGGAGGGCTGCCAAGGGAGGACGAAGAGTGGTGCAAGCAAAGCCCTTGGAAGTGGATGAGAGCTGTGTAGCTGTGCGAGGTCACACTTTCTTGGTTGGCATCTCATGAGGAATTTCAGACTCCTGAAGAACTGCATTCTGCAAAGCTTATGGGACTATAGTGAATTGCCAATTGCAGTTGGATGTTGCATGCTCAGCAGCTGTTAACTTGATTTTCAAGGCCAAAAGTGGCAATAACTATCACCTAGACCAGTCTGCTGCATATTGTTGATCACAGAACCTTTGTGTCAGATTTATATTCTGTGAAATTGGAGCAGGTCCAGAAGAGGGCCATGAAAATGTTCAGGGGGATGGAACGCCTCTCCTATGAGGAAAGGCTGAGAGAGTTGGGGTTGTTCAGCCTGGAGAAGAGAAGGCTTCGTGGAGACCTTCTTGCAGCCTGTCAGTACTTAAAGGGGGCTTATAAAAAAGGTGGC